CTGTGCACCCTTCCTTCAACTTTCTCTGCACTTCTTCATTGGCTCAGAATGCTATTAATACCTGTGTTTCCCTTCAGACTCTCCCAGCCCCATGGGTCTTTACAACAGTCTTCTCAGTAGTGGCAACTCACCTGTGTCAAGACAGTATTAAAGTCTTCCCCATCTGGACAACTGGCTTCTGAAGGGGCCCTCTGCTTTAGAGGTCCAGTCTACAGCCAACAAGGCTCTAATGCTGTTCCAATTCCAGGGCCTTCGTATCAACCTGAAAAGTCCACATTAACACCTGTTCAATGGATAGACTTCACTACCACAGGGCGGATTCTCTGATATATCCAGTCTGGTCACTACCCTCCAGCTGAGTCTCCAGACGATAGTAAGGACCTGACTTCAACTCCTAGTTCCCATGTTGGCCTCAACATTTGTCACATCACATACAAAACTAAATCTCCAATGCCTTCAGGCCTGGCTCAGAACCATTTACACATCAAACAAGCACATTCTTAGTGAGAAAGTTTCCATACCCTCACGGGTGCTGGACTTCCTCAGGTGGTGGCAAGACCCCTTGCAGATTTGTCTGGGAGAACCATTCTCATACCTGCCACGAACATGAACCATCATGATGATGTGGGGAGCCCACTTGCAAAGATCTACTGCATAGGAAAGATGGTCTCCACAGGAAATATTGTTTTACATCAAAGTTTTAGAGCTACAGCTGATTTGTTTTGCATGTCAGGACTAAACATTTAGGGACACCATGTCAGAGTAATGATAGACCACAGTACAACGATGTACTATGTAAATCAACGAGGGGGAGCAAGATCCCAGTCCTTATATACGGAATCTCTAAAGCTACGGAACTAGTGCATTGCCTGCCATATAGAGATTTCCACTGTTTACCTATTGGGTATCCAGAATACGGTGGCAGATGCCCTAAGCAGAAACTTCCACCAGGACCACAAGTGGTTGCTCAACAACCTGATATTTCACATTTGTGGAGTTTGGGGCCTCCCCACAGTGGATCTCTTTGCCAACCAGACCAATACAAAATGCCACATCTTTTGCTCCAAAGGGGCACTATGTCCCAACTTTTTAGGAGATGCCGTACTACTCCTCTATCCTTGCCCCCTCCTCTATGCCTTCTCTTCAACAATGCTACTCCTCAGGACATTAATCAAACTGTGGTAGAAGCAGGTAAGGGTCACCTTAATAGTGCCTTCTTGGACAAGACAAGTGTATTATTCAGCTCTTCACCTTTTTGTAGAGATACCTCACCGTCTTACCCTGAAATTGAACCTCCTAACACAGAACTTGGGCATCATGAGCCACCCCAACCTTGTATCACTGATCCTCAAGGCCTCGATGTTCTCAACCTTAGAGGTGGACTGTTCATCTGAAGTACAGTCCGTAGTACTAAATAGTAGAAAGTCACCTGCCACGTGAAAAGCTTAACTGCAGAAGTGGAAATGCCTCCTGTCCTGGTATTCCTGTCAATCTGTAGACTCTCTTGAAGCTTCTGTCTCCAGGATGCTTGATTACCTGCTTGAATTAAAAACACAGGACTACCTATGAGTTCTGTCATGATATACCTGGCAGCTATTATGGCCTTTAATTTGCCTTTTGAGGGCCTCTTATTTTCGGGTCATGCTACCACTGCCAGATTGCTTAGGGGTTTATCTAATCTGTTCCCTCATATTGGGACCCCACATCTTCTTGAAACCTTAATTTAGTTCTCAGTACCTTAAGGAAACCTCCTTTGGAACCTATGGCAGGCAGATTTGTTCCCCCATCTTTCCTGTAAGACCTTTTCCCTGATAGCTGTCACCTTGGCTAGAAGGGTGGGAGGGCTCAGAGCTCTCATGGCTGACCCATCTTACACTGCCTTCTATCATGTTGAGATCACACTATACCAAATCCTTGGTTTATGCCATATCAGGCAAGATAACTGTCTGCCAATGTTCTTCCCCAAGCTTCACTCCTCCACAGAAGTGACATGCCTTCACACTTCAGATGCTCACAGGGCATTTCCAGATTTCCCCTAGACTGTTCATATCCTTTTCTGAATGAATGAAAGGACAATTGATCTCTTCTCAAAGATTATCAAAGTGGGTGGCATCATAGCCTGAAACAAGATTGCTGTGGTACAACTCCCCCTCAAAGTGGCAGCATACTCCACTAAGACTCAGTCCATTTCTATTACCCTCATCAAAGACATCCTTATCTCTGAAATTTTCAGGGTCGCAATTTGGTCCTCAGTTCACATGTTCTCAAAACATTACAATATTCTTTCTGTGCCAAGATAGACACAACTTTTGCTGATGCTGTCCTCTGCACCATCTTGGATCTGCCTCCTCAGCACCCCCTTCCATGTTGAGTTACTGCTTGGGAGTCTGTGGTTGAGCACCCATAGTAACATATACTCAAAGAAGAAGGAGAGGTTACTTACCTTTCAGGAACTTGACTTCTTCAAGATATTTTCTCTCCAGGGGTGCTCCCCACCCTCTTTCCCCTCTGGCTTTGTAGTTGACAAGGAACTGGAATGGTGGCGGGTCCACTTCTCCCCATATTTCCTCACTCCAAAGCATGAGGCTGTATAGAATCATAGGGTTAGAAGGGACTGCAAAGGTCATCTAGTCTAATCCCTGTGTAGTGTAGCATGCAGGCGCAGACCTGCAGACACTGATAACTCAAATCTCTGGCTGAGAGTGCAAGGGCATGCTCATATCCTATGGTAGCGCACCCATAGGGCCAACACTTCTCAAAGAACTCAAGTTACTGAAAGGTAAGTAACCTCTCCTCTGTGTTTCCAGTTTGAGAGGGGACTGTAAAGGCAAAGAGAATTAGGATCCTACTCCAGTGAAGTATAGGCATAACTTTAAGCACATTCGTAATCCCATTGATTTCGGTGAGATTACTTATGTTCTTAAAGTTACCCTTTGCTTAAATGCTTTTCTGAATCAAGGCCTAGGAGAGGCTTCAAGAGATCCATGAAAACACTAGCTTCAAGAGCCATTTCAGTGAGGGAGTCGAGGTTGTGGGTATTGAAGCCAGGACTGAGTGATTCATTTGACCCATGATGCCATGAAGGATATGTGTTACACTTGCTTGGGATGCCCAGGATGATGAGTCCCCTTGTTACCCCTCTGCTTCAGCAAAAGTGAGAATAACTTGTGCTTAACTGACACCTCCAGTCTGTCACCCAAACAATCTCTTCAGGGCTCTACTAACCCCTTGCTTTGCCATGCAGGTTAGTAATAGGTGCACCCCGGTTCCATGCCCCTCTGAAAGCATCCCCCTGTAGTTTCCAGCCCTTGTCACTGGATACTCACAGAAATTACCAGATAAAATATTCCTGAAGGAACAGTCTACACACAGCTTGACTGGTACTTCTCAGGATCAGCAACATATAACATCACAGCACTGAGATATATGTATAGTGAAACAATCGTAAATTTATTATCAAAGATTAAGATTTAAGAGATAGTGAGTAAGGATAATAAGTGGAAACAGAAATGGTTACATATAATACTGACGTATAACATGCTTCTTATAGATTAAACTTAACTTTAACAGGCTACCCATCTGCCTAGAAGCAGTCTTATCTGACCTAAAGCTTTCTTGCAGCATTTCCAACCAGGACCAGTTGGGATCTCATTTTCATGAATGTAATCACATTGCCTGATTACTTCTTTGAGTTCAGGATAACAGGGTGCTGTCCCTGTCCCCCAGTTACAGAACAACAAACCTTCAAAGTGCACCCCAAGACAAAGCTTTTTCCCCCTGCTGTCCTCTTCCTGTTAAATCTCATCTGCATTTAACTAAAACTAGTGTTTGTGATTGAGACAAATACTTGATTTACATGTCCACAGATAGATGGATAAACAGCTCTGGTCTGGCAGAGTCATCTTGTAGTCCATGTTGGTTTGTGTTTTTTGTGAAATTTTCAGATTTGGTAATGTATTTACAGTAATGGAGAAGAAATTGCTGTCTTCTGGCATTTACTAATTTCAATCTAAATCCAGGTGATCCTTTCAAAACCATGTTAAAACCATTTCTTTCAGAGATTCATTTTGAGTAGTGATTTACCTCATGAGTTCTTTAGAACTGCCACACATATATTTGCAAAATATTACCTTCTGAGAACTTCTTTGTGCTTCTTATTTGGCAAAATGCCAGTTTTATGCTTTGTATTTTGTTGTGTGTGAAATAACTATTTCTGGTATTCTGTGGTTCTAATGTACTTTCAGTTTGATTAATGCCACTACTTCTTCCAGTCATAACAACCTGAGTTAGAATATTTTACTAATTTGTAAGAGCATATTTTAAATAGATATTTTTATTTATTTTGTTCTCATTAGGAATGTTATCTTTATTTTGTTATATTATATAGTTTCACTTAATTTTTGATCAATGTCTCAAGACACAAAGGACCATATTCTTTATTAAAGTCTTGCCTCTTTACTCTTCTTTGGTGCATAAAAGGACTGCAAATTGTGTGGAATCAGTCCCCCAGAAAATACCCCTAGTGTTAGCTTGTTCCTTAGGCAGTGTAGAGTTTGGGTCAGTTCTGCACTACGACCACTCCCCTCAAGCCCTCCCACCATTGGATGCATGCTAGAGGTGCAGTTACAAGCCTGTGCATTAGCAGGTTGGGGCCAGAATACAGGAGGTGCAAAGATGGTTTAAAAGGTGGCCTTTAGCCCATCCTCATTCCTGCAGTCTGTATAAGAACAGAACAATGGAAAGTCTTGTATCTTAAATTTTTCTGATATGATACAGTGTCTAGTGGCATATTTTTGAAGGAGTATTTTAATACTGTGTAGACTTGAAAATTAGAATTCCAAAGCATTGAAAACAGAAGATATTTAGATATTGGAAATACTGTTAGGATATAAATTAACACAAATTAAAGCAAACCCCAAGATGTTACCCAAATGACGGGGCGGGAGGGGGGTTGTAAATGAGATTTTTCTCCTTTTAATGATGGCATACTTATTTTGCAGTTTGAAAATGATATTTCAGCATTCACATATGAGAAGACTCTTATGATGGAGCAGAGATCTCAGATGTTAAAACAGATGCAGCTGTCTAAGAATGAAAGGGAAAGAGAGGTAAACAATTTAACTTGACTGTAAACTTTATGAAAACCAAGTATAAGCAAGTGGAAATGGTAATGCTAGGCCATGATCTCTAACAATTTCATAACAAGTAAATAAAATAAAACCTCTTTTGTTATGAATTATGTACTGGTTTATCAGTTGTAAGAGAATATTTGATTTACTTTATCTTTTTGTGTAATGAGTCATTAATATTAGCTCTAAACAATACTGAAATACTAGAATTACTACAGTTCCAGAATAACTATAACAGTAGATTGGAGTTTAAAATACTGCACTAAAAGCATCTGTGTTTGCATGCTTGTCATCAAACATATCTATTTTCCTGGGTTTTAAGGATTTTAAAAATTTAACTGAAGAATTTTAAAATATATTATTTTGAGTTAAATAGATGATGCAACCTTATACTTTTCAGTAATACTATTTTTGCCATCATGTCAGCGTTTGAAATCTGCAAGACGTGATAAAGCAATTAAGAAAATTACACTATATATCTAACATATAGCAAGGATTTTTAATGAATCCGTAAACTCTGAGGTCGTACCCTGTGACCGGAGAATTGCTAATATAGTACTATGACATTATCCAGAGTACAATTTGGACTGTTGAACAGCTGTGTCCCCTTTAATCGCTAGCCTGGGGTGCCTTTTACACTGCTTTGCTGTCAGAACAGCCACTCTTGGCCTGCTCACACAGCCTTCAGCATGCAAATTTACTCACAGCTAAACACATGAGCACACTGACTAGTCACTCATGAATTACATACAGGATGACACCTGCAAATTCTTAGTGTCAGACTTTCCCCCAGTAATGTGCATCTTGTGCTGTCCAGCACACTACTGAACAATGCAAGCTCATAGAAAGTCCGTCATTTTGTCAAAGAAAATGATATATGCACCAGCCTTGCTATCCCACTGTCTCTCATTTTTATATCATCTTCCCCTCTTTGAGGATTACCCCCAGCTGGGGTGTAGGCAACACATAGTCTCTTGTGGATGTGAGGGTTGAACTGTCTCTGTGATGAAATGTAAATTTCTTGTTTACACCTTCCTGTTGATGAAGAATGACATTGATAGCTGTTTAACACCTAAGTGGGGTACTAGGGTGTCTTTGTCTCTGAAAAAATGTTTTGTGACTGCTTTGGAGCATGTTATAACAACGATACATAGTAGAATCTAATAATTTCTCATACAATATTGATACACACATTTTGCCAGGACAACAATATTCAGCAGATTATGAGTTTTCAAATGATATCTCACAAGGTGTACTTTGTACAGAATTTATCATAGTCTTGTAAGAGTGATGACCAAAAAAATATAGAACATCACAAGTACCTGTTTTTAAGAAAGGAGAGAAAAGTGATCTGGGAAACTATAGGCCTGTTAGTTTGACGTCAATTGCCTGCAAGCTCTTGGAACAAATTTTGAAAGAGAAAGTAGTAAGAACATAGATGTAAATAGTAATTGGGATAAAGTACAACATGGTTTTACAAAAGGCAGATCATGCCAGATCAACCTGATCTCTTTCTTTGAGAAGATAACTGGGTTTTTCTGGACAAAGGAAATGTACCAGATCTAATCTCCCTGGATTTCAGTAAGGCATTTGATACAGTTCCAGATGATAAATTATTATTTAAATTAGAGAAGATGGGAATTAATATGAGAATTAAAATGTGGATAAGGAACTGCTTAAAGGGGAATCTACAACAGGTCATATGGAAAGGTGAATTCAGGCTGGAGGGAGGTTGGTAGTGGAGTTCCTGAGGGATGAGTCTTGGGACCTTTCTAACATTTTTATTAATGATCTTGGCACAAAAAATGGGAGTGTGTTAGTAGAATTTGCAGATGAGAAAAAGTTGGGAGTTTGTCAATGTGGAGGAGGACCGGACTATCACACAAGAAGATCTGGAGGATCTTGAAAATTGGAATAATAGAAATGGGATGAAATTTAATAGTGCAAAGTGCAAAGTCATGCACTTAGAGACTAACAAGAATGTTTGCTATATGCTGGGGACTTATCAGTTGGAAGCAACAGAGGAAGAGAAAGATCTGGGTGTACTGGTTGATCGCAGGATGACTATGAGCTGCCAACGTGATGCAGCTGTGAAAAAGGCTAAAGCAGTCCTAGGATGCATGAGGCAAGGTATTTGCAGTAGAGACAGGGAAGTGTTAGTACCATTATACAAGGCAGTGGTAAGACCTCATCTGGAATACTGTGTGCAGTTCTGGTCTCCCATGTTTAAGAAAGATTAATTCAAACTGGAACAGATGCAGGGAAGGACTACTAGGATGATCAGATGAATTTGAGTCTCCTACCTTATGAGAGGAGATTCAAAGAGCTTGGCTTATTTAGTCTAACCAAAAGAAGGCTGAGGGGAGATACGATTGCTCTATGTAAATACACCAGAGAAATAAATACCAGGGAGGGAGAGTTGTTTAAATGAAGTGTTACTGTTGACACAAGAAAAAATGGATATAAACTGGTCATCAATACATTTAGGCTTGAAATTAGATGAAGGTTTCTAACTATCAGAGGAGTGAAGTTTTGGAACAGCCTTCTAAGAGGAGTAGGGGTAGCAAAAACCTAACTGGATTCAAGACTGAGCTTGATAAGTTTATGGAGGGTATGGTATGATGACTCTGCCTACAATGGCATGTAGCTGATCTGTGATTGCTAGCTGCAAATATCTCCAATGGCCAGTGATGGGACACTAGATGGGGAGGGCTCTGAGTAACTACAGAGAATTCTTTCCCAGGTCTTGCACACATGCTCAGGGTTTCCATATTTGGGTTGGGAAGGAATTCCCCCCATCTCCCCCTGTCAGATTGGCAGAGACCCTGGGGTTTTTTGCCTTCTTATGCAGCATGGGGCATTGGTCACTTGCAGGTTTAAATTTGTGTAAATGGTGGATTCTCTGTAACCTGAAGTATTTAAATCATGATTTGAGGACTTCAGCAACTCAGCCACAGGTTAGGGTCTGTTACAGGAGTACGTGAGTGAACTTATGTGTCTGCAATGTGTAGAAGGTCAGACTAGATTATCATGATGGTCCTTTCTGGCCTTAAAGTCTGTGAGTCTATAATGTTTCAACATTTTAATTTAATTTACTGCAGGAAAAAAATCATGGCAAAACTGTTGCATAGCTTTATTCATAAAAATGTATTTTTAAAATAAAATATATTCATGCAACACTCTGGATTTTGGCATATATCTGCACCATGTCTTCAATCCGTCAGTGAAAATCTCTTAAATTCATTTCTGCTATTTAAATCTCAATATTCTTGAATAATCTTATGCTCCCCGAATGCTCTCTTATTCACACAGGTAAAAAAATACTCTTTTCTTCTTTTTTTAACTTCATGCTTATATGATAGTGTTGTCATCTTCAAAATACATGCATTCATTAATGCTCACAACATGCCTGTGAAGTAGGGAGGTATTATTCCTTTTTAACAATGGAGAACTGTCACACACAGGTGAGATGGCCACATAGTCAGTCAGTGGCAGAGATGCCAGTCTTGTATTAGAAAACACTGCCTCTCTAACAGATAAGCCCTCTTGTATGTTTCCTTTATGAGAGTGAATTCTGAATTACTTTATAGTCACTTCACTTGGAAAAGTCATATTCCCGTTAATTTATTCAAAGTAATAATAATAAGTCCATAAATATTTATAACATTGCATAGAAATAAAGTCAAATGAAAGTTCTGTCATATCTAATCCTAGTTTAGAAGGGGGCTTTGAATAGTAGTTGCCATGTGGGAAACATCATTAAGCAGGGGTTTCTAGTGGGGCTCCATAGGAATCTGTTCTAAGCATAACAGGGTTCAATATTTTTATCAGTGATCTGGAAGTAAATTTTAGGGAGGTACAAAAGTTGGTGGAGTGGTAAATAATGATGATGACAGGACAATCATACAGAGTGAACTGAATTGCTTGATCAGGTGGGCCCGTTCAAACAAAATGCATTTTCTAATACAACAAATGCAAGTCATACATCTTGGACCAAAGAATGCAGAACTTACCTACAGAATGGGTGACTGTATCCTGGAAAGCAGTGACTCTAGAAAGGGATTTAAGAGTCACAGTAGACAATTAAAAAAGAGCTCCCAGTGTGATGCTGTGGCAAAAAGGGCTAATGTGATTCTTCAATGAATAAACTGGGGGAGTAGGGAAGTGATTTTACCTCTGATGCAGCATTGGTGAGACAGATACTGGAATACTGTGTTCAGTTCCGGTGTCCTCACTTTAAAAAGGATATTGAAAAATGAAGATGGTGCAGAGAAGAACCACAAAAATGATTTGAGAAAAAGTGCTGTACACAGAGATTTAAGAAGCTCAGTCTCTTTAATTTAATCAAGAGGTGACTTGAACACAGTGTATAAGTACCTTCACAGGAAGAAAATACCAAATAATAAAGGGCTCTAATCTAATCTAATATAGCAGAAACAGTTATAATTAGAACCAATGACTGGAAGATAAAGGTAGACAAAAATCTGTGCCTTGTTTCTAATTTGAATTTAATAGTAAGGGTGATTAACCATTGAAACAAACTACTAAGGGAAGTGGTGGATGACCTGTCTGTTGAAGTCTTCAGATCAAGACTGAATGCTTTTCTGGAAGACATACTTCAGTCAAGCTCGAGTTATTTGACTCAATACAGGAATAACTGGATAAAATTCCATGGCTGGTGTTATACTGGAAGTCAAAGTTGACTATATAATGGTCCCTTTTGGCCTTAATTCAATATTTCTTCTTTTTTATTGCTCTTGTTTGTGGTTGTGTTAATGTAAAAACACACTGGGTCTGGAAGCCCCCAAATGATTTCCTGCTTCTTTTGTTGATGGCTTGTTCTCTCACCTTCCAAAACACTACATCCCAGTATATCCCAGATAGTGATATGAATCTTATATGTAGATGATTGCATTCAGGCACCCAGGGAAAAGGGACCTACTTAGCCTGGGGCTAATATATCTGCCTTCTATTACTCTCCTATAGCCTGGCCTGACCCTGTCACAATATATTCAACATACCTTGGCAAAACCTAAATGTAAACTGAACATATATCAATAGTTGTTTAGTAATCTTATTACGAGTGTTTGAGTTTGGCTGTTCAATACATGTTTTGTGTGTGTGTGTTTTTTCTAAAATTATTTTTGGGTTTGTGTAAAAATTCTTGTCTGTTACCAAGAAAACAAACTCATTAACTTACTATGGAGCTAGGTTTTTACATGTGTGACCTTCTATTGAAGTAAATATCTTTTTCCTTTTGTGTACAGTCTGCTTGTTTGAGTACAAAATAGCTCTTTGATCTCTGTTTCTTTTAAATTCAAAGTAGTGCTTCAATCAAATTTTAGAAATATATTGCTATGCTAATTTGTGCAAATGAGCACCATGTTTGTAAAAGGCAAACACAATTACATAGTGGCATCTGTATCTGTTTTCAGAATACTCCCACTTTCAGCTATTTAAATAAAGACAAATTGTTATTTGAGTAGCATAATTAATTATATCCTTTTTTTGTATGCTGGTTGTACTTGGTGACCTTCACGTCCCAGATTCAGAGCATCACTGATGAGTCTCAAGGCTTAGTCAGAAGAAAAAGCTACTCTAGTCCACAGCCCATTGGTCAAGATATACAGGCTCTGCTGCCTAATGACAATCCAGAAGAAGAGGTAGTCTGAAGTAGTACTGACTGGATATTCCATTCTCATTACAACACTTACAGTGCCACTTTAGAAAATGTAGTACTAAAGACTGGAAATGAAATTGCAGATTTTTTTCTCTAAAGCTTTCAAACTTTTTACAAAACATTTGCCCATTTTCCTCCTATAAATAAATAATTGCGGTTAAACAAAATTGATGCAGGTAGTGATGTGATAGAAAACAACCTTTTTGTCCTCTCCTTTCTCTTGTCTGGAAACAATCAATCAAGAAATTTAGATTTTAATATTACCTACTATGATTTATTTTTATTATCACGGCACTATCTTTTGTGTATATACCTGCTATTACAAACTGTCACTATACTACATCTTCTCTCATTTATAGATTTTCCTGAGAAGTAATGTCTGGAATTTCTAAAAGTCTCAAGAAAATTAGCAAAGATATCTTCAACTTCTCCCTTCTCATTTAAGTAATTTCTAGAATTTGAGGAGTTCGATTGAGAAGCATATTTTACTCCTTCAAAATATTTAAAATAAAAATTGCATTTAGAAGTCTATCATGTATCAGGCAGCATATAGCCAGTGCTGAAGCATCTCTAAGTCCATTTAGTCAGAAACCTAGCATGAAATTCTGGCCCCCCTGAAGTCAATTTCACTGTTGGAGTGCAAACCTCCCCCTAAAGATATACTTCTCAAAAATAGAGAGCAACACTATTTGTATAATTCTGGTGAAACATCTGAATCTTTACACTATAAATGTCACTCATCAATTTCTTTATTAGTTCAATTATGATGAAAATATGGCACTTTAAATGTTTATGTCCAAAGATGGGTATCCTAGTTCGTGGCATTACATTAGTGTTTCTTTATATTCCACATACTTTAGACACTGTGGGCATATTTGTGTTAATTTCCATTTAAGCAATGAAATAAAATCCAAGTATCTCTAACACAAAATATTCCCTCCCTTTGCATTTTTTAATGTAATTGTAAATGTCTTCTGTTCCATAACAATGAAAGACAGTTAGACATTATTGCTGTCCTAAACAGGGACATTGATTTTTTTATTTCAGATACCAATTCAGTGTTAATTGTTTCTGATATCTCTGCTAGTGCTACTTAGTGCAAAGTATTTGCAGATATATTTTTGGTCTTTTTTTCACTCTTAATGGGTACCCTAATCACAGCTTGGAAAAACATCTTTTTAAACATATGGAAATTCCCAGGAAAATCTTCAAATTAGAATTGAAGTTGCACAGTAATTTGGACTCAAATTTTCATTAAAGCAAATTGTCTTTAGTTTTAATTATAAAAATAAGCCTCTCAATTAGACCCCAGTAAACACAAATGAATAACTTCATGTATCTGAGTAGTTCTGTTGGCTTCAATGTTAAAGTTAAGCATGTGTTTGCAGCATAAGGTATCATAGTTTGTAAACCTCTTGGGGCTGATCATGCTCCAATTAAAGTCTGTCAACTCCCATTGATTTAGGTTGTGCAGATCAGTGATTTAAATTTCTTTGTATCTCTAAAACGACTATATTTTGACCTGTTCTCTTTATTTTATTTTTTTTCAGGCTCAGTTAATACATGACAGAAACACTGCGTCCCATTCAGCAGCGGTTGTTAAGTGTGATACTGCTGCTGCTACACCTGAAAAAGTGCAAATGACCTGGACTAAAGAAAAGTTTATAGCTGAAAAGCACAAAAATAGAGAAACAAATATAACAGGTTTTAAAGATATCTTCAACATGAAGCCGTAAGTACAAATGTGATTTTAATAAGTTTCTGGTTTTATCCTTTTTCTGGTATTATTTCAGGCCTCATCGTGTAAAAATGTATATGCATGCCAGTAATTTTATAGACAGGAGTAGTGCCACTGAAGTCAAGGGCAGAATTTACATGCATACATTTTTACAAGATGAGGCCCTACGTGAAGCGTAGAGGAGGCGAATGTTTGGGCAATAAGTGCTAATTTGGGTGACTGATACATTTGCATTACTTGTAACCGTGCTTTAGAGGAAGCATTTTCACATTTTACATTTGTCATATTACACGTATAATGTTCTTATTGAAAATAACTGCAAAGAAGATGCTAAATATTGTCCTAAGAAATTCATTCAATCATGTACTCTAATTAAACAGACTTAGGCCCCACTTTTGTGAGTTACAACAGATTGGTGGACCCCTGTGCCCTCAGAAGTCAATGAGATTCTACCCAGGTACCAGGGTTTTCCCCACATATGTAAGCTGCAAGACAGGAGCTTAAGGATATGTCTACACTGCAGACAACTCCTGCAGCAGGGAGTATCAGAGCCCAGGTCATCTGACTTGGGCATGCACTATGGGATTAAAAATAGCAGTATAAACATTCTTGCTCAGGCTCTGAGACCCTACTCCATCCTAGGTTTCAGAGCTCGGTCTCCTACTCAAGCAGGAACATCTACATTGTTATTTTTAGCCCCATATTGCAAGCTGAAGTTAGTTGACCTGGGCTCTTGAGACTCACTGCCATGGAGGGGTGGGGAGGTTTACTGTGTAGATGTGTAAGTTTGTAAGAGCTAACCTTTAATAATAATAATAGTAAACTGAAAGTCAAATGAACTTAGATCCTCTTGAAAATGAAACTTCTGTCACTTAGGAGCCTGTTTTCTTTGGAATTTTTTACCTATTCCAAATGCAGAATATCAGTTTGGTTATGATAGAGTTTTACTTTAAAATACTGTTCTCTTCAGAAGCTGTACTAGAAACTGACTTATATTTTACTTAAAATTGTTGTTTTTTAAATTATTTTCTGGTAGCAGACTTTTTGATTCATGCAAAAACATAGATTGACATTTTTTATTTAGATATTAGAACTCTAAAATTATACTACTTGTCAATGAGGGAAAGTTTAATTCAGACCACAAAAGTTGTACAGTGTTTTATCAGCTGAAGTTGCTATATTTAAAAATGCACCAAATAGCATAAAGCAATGTAGTTTCATGTTTGTTTCTCTTCCATGTAGAGAATGGGGAAATCTGTAAGTCAAATCTGATTTAATTTAGGCTGTGTTCCCTGGTTCTTGTGTATTATTATTGCATGTTTCCTTTAAAGTAGTTGCTTCCCATGATTTACAGTATGCATATTGTGCACATATTGTGATTTGGCATGTGAATATAATTAGCATAGTATTTCCTGTCAGCTTTTTCTGTTTTAGTTCCTATACCTTATCAGTTTTTTATTTCAGAGTAATTCATAGTATACATATAAGTTTCTCAAAAATGATGGTCAATGTAGTCAATAGCAAAATCTTTCGTTAAAAACCTGACAGTATTTGGTTGCAAAATAAGTGACCTTCATTTTTTCTAATTATCTTCTTAGAACACTGAATGTATGTATTAAACATTTTAATTATGATTATGCTACTGTATGGCACTGTGGGCTGAAAAAAATGAGACTGAGACTTGTTAAAACATTGTATTATTCAAAAAGCCTGCATTTCCCAACTGGTAAACTGTAGATTTCCTTGTACAATACAACCCTCCCCCCACCCGCCACCCCCACACACATACTCTTCATTTGGGCTATAGGAAGCAAATAAATTTACCAACAGATTCATAAAACCAGATCATGTAGCTGTCCAGAGGCAGTTTATCCACCCCGATGGAGCCACTAGAAGTACTCTACTTTTCCTCCTCTCTTTGTTCTTGGGTTTTCTCTGTTTTGACAGAAGTGCTAAAAGACATCCTCTACCTTACACCGAATTCTGTCTTTTGTTGCTGACTTTGTAGCTCTCTCTCTATGATCTTTGATTTCTCTCTCTCTCTCTCACTCTTTGTCATCTTCTAGCTACCATAATTACTTCCACAGAATTGTAAACAATGAAGTAAATCCTTCAGGTTAAAAAAATCTGTATCCAAATTAATCTTATTATTATTAGTTTGATAGCACCCAAAAATGTGTTAGGCTCTTCATAGAAAAAGTAATCTTTGCCACCAAGATCCTGCAATCTAAATTTAAACATTACACAATCAATGAGCATGGCAAACAGGTAGGGAAGGAATAGGGTAAATAGTAAATAGATATTGCTGCCCGCTACCTGGTAAATAAGAAGTAGGCATTATCTCCCGTAAATGTAAACAAACTTGTTTGTCTTAGCAATCGGCTGAACAACAGGTAGGAATGAGTGGACTTGTAGGTTCTAACTTTTCACATTGTTTTCCTTTTCAGTGAATTTATGTAAAATAAATTCTGCATTTGTAAGTGGCTCTTTCATGATAAAGAGATACTTGGATGAGGTGTATTGTACATGATATAGTACTTGGATGAGGTGAATTGAAAAATACTATTTCTTTTGTTTATCTTTTTTACAGTGCAAATATTTGCAATAAAAATAATAATATGATGTGATCACTGAACACTGTATTCTATATTGTAATTGAAATCAATATATTTGAAAATGTAGAAAAACATCCACAATCTTTATAATTAATTTAAATTGGTATTCTATTATTTAACCGTGAGATTAAAACTGCGATTAATTGCAACTATTTTTTCATGTAGTTAATTTGTTTTGCATTAATCGCTTGAGTTAACTGCAATTAATTGACAGTCCTAGTAAATATGGCTGATGGTTACAGGCATAAAATCATGTGGTTTATCTGGATTTTAACTTTGTTTCCAAAGCCACAAACCTTGGAATTATACATCTCCCTTTTTTATTAATCTGCCTATCACAGCTGGTGATATATTGCCATAATTTATCCTTACTTTGAGACTGCTTCTGTTCTAATCCTCATTCATGCCCTAATCAATTCCTAACTAAATCCATCATTTTATTTTACAGTCTTCTCACATCATTATCCTTTAAACTACAGAGAATCCCAAAAGTTGAGTCCAAACTACAGTAGAACGTCAGGCTTACGAACACCTTGGGAATTGAGGTTGTTCATAACTCTGAACTGTTTGTAACACTGAACAAGTCGTTATGGTTGTTCTTTCAAAAGTTTACAACTGACCATTGACTTAATACAGCTTTGAAACTTTACTATACAGAAGAAAAATGTTTCTTTCCCTTTATTTTTTTTTAGTAGTTCATGTTTAACACAGTACTGTACTGTATTTGCTTTGTGTGTGTGTGTGTCTGCTGCTGCCTGATTACATACTTCTGGTTCCAAATGAGGTGTGTGATTGGTCAGTTCATAATTCTAGTGTCCTTAACTCTGAGGTTCTACTGTATTTTCTTGTTCCAGAAAGTGCCAGTCATCTGTCACCTTCACTGAGTTCCTATCCAACAACTTCTCCAATTAATAATTTCTTCATGTTAGATATCCCTTTTATAGGAAAACCTTACGTGTTGGATGAGAAATTCTGTTCTCACAATTTTGCTGTAATTTGAAGGCATCTGAGGGGAGGGAGAGTCACATGGACAGTCCCTTTCCCTTCTTTTACTCCCCTCCCTCACCCCAAGCCAAGTCCAAGAGATGCTGTATTTATAAGGTAGCTTTTCTGGAGTCCCAGAGAATGAGCTATAGCCTTCTTCTGCCTGCCAGACAACCCTCACTCTGCCAGGGCATTGAGTCAAACCAGCATGCCAGGGCCTCATCACCCAAATGCAACTCTGATATCTCATTAAAACTACAATGTTAAATAAAAACATATGGGAATTAGCATAGGTCAGCACAGCAGTAATCCCATCGACAAAAGACATCATCACTGCTTGAGAAGGGGGCTTCCTTCCAAAAGATCCCACATACCATGAAAGAGGTCTGCATAGAGTTTCAAAGCTTCAGTTGTGGCCATTTAGATGACAGGTGTGCCTGTCATTTGTAAGCAAAATGTAAGCACCTTTCTTGTGGCTGGTGGGAGCAGAAGTGATATCTGCTTATGTGGAAAACAAAGATCTTAGAGGCAGCACAGTGGAAGTCACCCAAGATGTCTAATAATTTTTACTGAAGCCAGGACAAAACTGATTTCAATAGGACTACTCAGAAAAATGGAACAGCTCTGCAATACCCAAGACACCCTGATAAATTCTGATATCTGGTCATTGTATCTATTATGTCCATTTCTATATCTTTTCACACCAGTGAACTCAGAAGCCTGTCCATATAACTTATTTCTAGAGACAGAGACAAACAACAAGGAGAAAAATGTCATAACAAAACCATTGTGAGATTAATTAAAAGAATGACTAAATCATAGAATCATAGAATATCAGGGTTGAAAGGGACCTCAGGAGGTCATCTAGTTCAACCCCCTGCTCAAAGCAGGGCCAATCCACAACTAAATCATCCCAGCCCATGGTTTTGTCAAGCCTGACCTTAAAAACCTCAAAGGAAGGAGATTCCACCACCTCCCTAGGTAACGCATTCCAGTGCTTTACCAGCCTCCTAGTGAAAAAGTTTTTCCTAATATCCAACATAAACCTCCCCCACTGCAACTTGAGATCATTACTTCTTGTTCTGTCATCAGCTACCACTGAGAACAGTCTAGATCCATCCTCTTTGGAACCCCCTTTCAGGTAGTTGAAAGCAGCTATCAAATCCCCCCTCATTCTTCTCTTCTGCAGACTAAACAATCCCAGTTCCCTCAGCCTGTCCTCATAAGTCATGTGTTCCAGTCCCCTAATCATTTTTGTTGCTCTCCACTGGATGCTTTCCAATTTTTCCACATCCTTCTTGTAGTGTGGGGCCCAAAACTGGACACAGTACTCCAGATGAGGCCTCACCAATGTCGAATAGAGGGGAACGATCACGTCCCTCAATCTCCTGGCAATGCCCCTACTTATACAGCCTTCTTGGCAACCAGGGCACACTGTTGACTCATATCCAGCTTCTCGACCACTGTAACCCCAGGTCCTTTTCTGTAGAACTGCTGCCTAGCCATTTGGTCCCTAGTCTGTAGAAGTGCATGGGATTGTTCCATCCTAAGTGCTAAGACTGGTGGTGTCTTTGGGTGTTATTGCCAACAACTAACCACTTTGCTACTTTCTCATATAGTTTCCCATTATGAATTGAATTTCATTCAAAGATTTTATAGTATGACTGTCATTTAACTTATGCTGGGATTTTCAAAGGAATTTAAGGGAAATCCCACTGTATCTGCAGAGTCTTGCTACAGTGCATTTAGAAATGCTATAACAAAGATTGTGTCTGAATTTCCATTATAAATCCTTGTTTTGCATTCTTCCCTCAATTAGATTTCTAGGAATCTCTATCAATCTATATCCACTCCTTGGCTTAAATTTCACTTACAAGGAAATTGTCCTGAAAGCAGTACTCATGTTTAGATTTCATTTTATTTTGAAGGAAAGTATTACCAATTTTAAGTTAAAAATTATAGCCCTTCTTTCATAAACCATCAAAATTGGACTTGATTTTTAATAAATGAGTAACTATAATTATAGAAGTTAAGATGTACTGAGATCTAAGTTTAATCCTTTTAGGCATCTCCTTCTATTACAAGTATGACATTTTCAGCTAATTATCATAGTTCACAAATTTATCTGTGGTGTACAGATTAAAATAGTTATTGGTTACAATAACATTTTTACTGTAGAAAAGTTTGTTTCTGTACTAGGAATCAGTCAAATGTGAGAAGAATGCACACTGCTGTGAAGCTCAATGGAGTAATATTAAATAAGTCACAACATGCTCAGCTAGTTTTATTGAATATGCCCGGACCTCCTAAAAACAAAAAAGGGGATGAAAACTGTATCCTATGCTTTATTGTTTTAATGGTGAAGTATACTATATTACAAAAAAGTAACAATATCATACAGATCAACAGTTGCATAAATTAAAGTTGTTATTGCTATGAATGAGTAGAATGAGCATGTGTATATCTGTTTATATGTATATAGGGGCTGTGTGCTTTTTTTGTCTGTACTGTGGCTTTTTTGTTCGTATTTTAACTAGAGAGACCTATGCCTTTAAGACCAGCGCTTGCAGAATGTTTTCATGAAACCAAAAGTAGTGGGGGAAAATGTTGTCTTTGTTTAATGATAACACTCGTATTCTGGGTTCAGTTTAATCTAAAATGCTTAGATAAAAATAATAGAGTTTAATACCAATTTTATTTATTTATTAGTATTTCTGGGGTGCCTACATAGATCCCAACATTTATTACTCCTTCGTGATCTGAGCTGGGAGGCTCTTTGCATGCTGGGACCTAAAATGGTTGTGGCTGCACTTCATGAAAGATGAATGTGTTAGGTGCTTTAGGCAAGTTATTGGATGCAGCTGCTGCACTTGCACTTTGGATGCAGGAATACAATTTATTAAGGGTTTTTTAGTATTATGTTTAAAGGTTGTTTTATTTCTTGTCTATAATCTTAAAACCTTGACTTGATTGTCCTCCAGACATGGAGTTTTTGGAAGTTTTGACAGAAGGTCTGAACAGAGTTCTCTTAGTGCGAGGTGGTGGACGTGAAGTGATCACCATTTACTCCTAATGCTGTTACAGAATATGAACAGATTAACTGCGGTAATTTGAACAGTTGAAATGAAATTACCTGTGTACTTGAAATGATGCACCAGCTGAATCTTCTGATCATGTGTTCTGCTTTCTTTCAAAGGAATCTATCTGAAATTATTTACTACATAGATTTATCTTTATAGAAGAAATTTATATATTGTAGTATTAAATAAATGCTAAATATCAGGAGGGTATTTTTTTAAGCAATCTTGGTGTGAGACCCAAGAAGGGAAAGGTAATTTTTATGGCCGATGTAGCAACTAATGTTTTAAATGTGCATAATCAGAGAAAAAACAGAATCTGCATTTTTAGTAACATTAATTGTATTATTTTGCTTCTACAAAAGGATAATTAAATTATGTTAAAACCTTCCAAGTTTATCAACAAAATATGAAATATTTCAAACAAGAAACCCTGGTCTTATTATTTTGTCCTCTTGACAAATGCTGCTGTGGTGCATCTGTGACTGTTGTGATCACAGTTTCATCTTAGGTCTCCTGGTTCATATTGATTCAGAAATATGTACAAACATTTGACATATTTAATTATTTGACATAAAAGGAATTACCTGTTTTCAAAATTGGTTAAATAAAAATTCACAATTCAGCCATTACTAACTACTATAATTCTTTGCATGGTGACAAGTATCAGGGGGTAGCTGTGTTACTCTGTATCCACAAAAACAACAAGGAGTCCAGTAGAAAGAAAAGGAGTACTTGTGGTACCTTAGAGACTAACACATTTATTTGAGCATATGCTTTCGTGAGCTACAGCTCACTTCATTGGATGCATTCAGTGGAGTCCAGTGACACCTTAAAGGCTAACATATGAAGACAACATACGAAGACACACATATGGTCTGAAGAACTTCTGCCTTGCAATCTGAAATCAGTTTAAGCCCTAACCCATTTTCCTCTGCATTCTTTACACCCCACACTCATTTTGTGGTGGAGCTGAATGTATAGCTTTAAGCTGATGCTAAATAATTTGTTTGGGAGTGGAATGTGGGGGTGGTTTTTTGAAATAAAATTGCTAGTGTGAAATGTTAGACTTGAGCCGGGGGCCCTCATCTGTGTATGGCAGTGTGACGTTAGAGCTGGCCTCACACCAAAATTATCGATGCTTTGTCTGCTTAGGTGGAAAATTTGAAATTATTATTATTAAAGACAAAAGCCAGTAGAACACTTCAATCTTCCTGGACATTCTATAACAGATTTGAAAGTAGCTATACTTGAACAAAAAAACTTCAGAAACAGACTTCAAAGAGAAACAGCAGAACTAAAATTCATTTGCAAATTTAACACCATTAATTTGGGCTTGAATAGGGACTGGGAGTGGCTGGCTCATTACAAAAGCAGTTTTGAGTCTCCTGGAATTGACACCTCCTCATCTGTTATTGGGAGTGGATTACATCCACCCTGGTCCTCCACGTGTGAGGTAACTCCCTTCTCTTCATGTATCAGTATATTTATGTCTGCATCTGTAATTTTCACTCCATGCATCTGAAGAAGTGGGGTTTTTACCCACAAAAGCTTATGTTCAAATAAATCTGTAAGTCTTTAAGGTGCCACCAGACTCCTTGTTACTATAATTCTTTTAAATTACCTTTTTTGTATGTTCATCTAAACTTAACTTTGCTGACTTTACTAAGTTATAAAAAAAATGTATGACCCCCTTTGCACCGCTGCTATGTAAGGATAATCTCCAAATGGAGGTGAAGGTATTCTACCTACTCTTTCACACACAGTTCTTTAATGCTTGTAGCACACTGCATTCCAGTGATCCCAGGGTTAGTGAATGGCTCCTTGGGGGCTATTGCATTTTGGAGCAGTCTGAGAGCTGAAACCAGGACTTGAGAATTTTAGCTATCTCCTGTTTAGATGATGGATATAGCAAGTGATGGGGAAGAGAATAGGGACAGTAGGGCATTTATATATCATATGTCTGTGATTCTGCCTTGTGATGGGTGATGATTTTCGACATACGGCATGCAATAGTCAAATTCAAATGATAAAACTTAAGTGTAGGAAATAAGGAGGCTCACTTTGACCAGTTAAGTGTAGTCTTCTGCTTTAAATTAAATGCAGGGACAGTCACCCTATTTCTTTTCATTATTTTTATTTCTTGAAAGAAAATCTGATTTTCTGAAAACTGACCTTTTTTATAAAATACATAAATGAAGAATTTCTTTGCCAACTGAATTGGGAGTAAACTATTACATTTGTAAATATTTGTTTTATATAGTATTTTTCAGCTTTTTATTGTTAATACACCTCTGTGCATTATGACTGGCCATAAAATTAAGTTTATAAATTACATCTTAAAACTATTTGTCACTGCCCAGTGTTTCTTGATACTGAAAATATCTGGCCACAAATACTGCAATAGCACCTAGGGACTATACTAGTTTAAGGGATGTGGCATAATTACACTAAAGACAAAGTGCAATGTGTAAAATAAAATATGTTTGTTATTTTGTGCAGGGAACATAATTTCATGTTTTAAATGATAGATCTGCCAATATATTTTCAGTAAGCATTTCAGCTAAATCATTTTTTCCACAAATTTCATTGATGAAGTATATATTCAGTCATAGATAAAAATGGCTTATAAAATGTATTCTACTTATCAACTCATTTTACATTTTGTTTTGTTTGTACAATACTATTTACTGTTTATAGTCTCTATAAAGAAATATTTTTACACACACTTATAGCAACCTTAGAAGTAAATGCTGTACATTCCAGGCCCTGTTTTGAAAGATATCTTCAATAGATTTGCTGCAGTATGTCTAAACTTGCACATTTTTTGTTTTATGCTTTCTTTTCAGTTCTCTGGTTTAGAATATTAGAGTATGTGGTCAAGTAGTTATGTATACCAAAGCTCATTCAATATTATAACTGAAACACACATCCTAGACTCCTAGATAGATGTCTGGGACTAACTCAGTGAATAAAAAATGTGCAGTGCAGGTGCAAAATGTGTGTCCCTCCAACAGATCCACTGCCAGGACCCTTCAATTCCACCAGCTCCCCCCCTTTTCATCCAGGTCCCTCCAGCAATTCCCTTGCCAAGACCTTACCAATTCCAGCCAATTCCAGGAGGACTTCCAAGTCCCCCTTTTCATCCAGGTCCCTCCAACAATTCCCTTGCTGGGACCTTACCAATTCCAGCCAATTCTGGGGGGACTTCCAAGTCCCCCTTTTCATCCAGGTCCTTCCAGTAATTCCCTTGCCGGGACCTTACCGACCACCCCCCCTCATAGGAAGGGTTAAGGTGGACTATGATGATGGGGGCGTTGGCTCTCTGCTGTACCTATCATAGGAGTCCCCAACTGCCCCCCAGCTTGCTCAGTTACCAAGCACCTCTCCTTAATTCCTTTTCCAGGCCATTTTTCCGTTCTTTTGTGCCTTAATTTACGGAGTACCTGCACTGAACATCCTCTATACAGTTAAATAAAGAGTTGCGACATATGGCCTACCGCCTGTGCATGAACAGAGCCCACCTGAACCTGCTGCAAGGAAGGCAAAAAGCCCCCCACTGCACAAGGCCAATATGGTGGTAAGGGAAAAATTCCTTCCCAGACCCCCTTAGCAGGGCGGCTAGCATAGTGTCCACAGCAGATATAGCTAAACACCCGGCATATTTGTTACATAATGAGGGAGGGAGGGAGGATGGGTGCTACCCAGCCTGTTCCAGGTAAAGAGAGTGGCCAAGCCCATGCTGATCTTTTTAAACCCCCCATTACTAGGTGGTGAGTCATCCAGCACGCTGACTGCTCTTCCAGCAGTCTTACGTCTCTCCTCCTCCCCCCAGAAAATTCCAGAAAGCTTTGCCCTCCTCTCCTGGCCAGCCAGACAACCACACCCCTGCTTGAAGTGCACGGTGGTGATTATGAATATGTACCTAAAAGAATGTAGAAACTATTGGTTCTGAAATAGCAGAAAGAAATCCATCTTCTCTTGGATGCAATACCATAAGCTACTCTAGCCATTAATAAGAATTAGGGGTACACATCGAAGTGCAGCATTTTTCAGTGTATGCAAATATGGCTTTTAACTTAATAAGTATTTTTTTTTCACATATGAAAGTCACAATCCTTGAAACTAATAGTTATGAAAATTAAGAAAATGAATTATGGCTACAAGAACATTTTGCAAAAAGAAAAGGAGTACTTGTGGCACCTTAGAGACTAATAAATTTGTTAGTCTCTAAGGTGCCACAAGTACTCCTTTTCTTTTTGCGGATACAGACTAACACGGCTGCTACTTTGAAACCTGTCATTATGAAAAGAACATTTTGGTATTACAGCATAAGTACTTGCCAGATATAGATATCCTAAGTTACCCTAAGGTTATTTTTTGTTTGTACTAAAATATTTGCAAGATCATTATCTTATCGCTATACGAAAAACTTTTGTAAATGTTTAGAAATGACAATGTTTCCCTTTGTTTGTGTAGGTGTTCACAAATAAATAAAACTGTCTGAAACCACTGTCTGTACTACACATTCTTGTTGATACTCATGTGAAAAACAGTTGATGGGGAAGATACACAATACTTTAAGCTCTGTCAGTACTAACCAAGTAATTTGATTGATGTCACGTGTATCGTTTCAAATTTAAATATAAAATTATTTGACAAAAAAAGACTGGTGAATAATAAAAATTACAAGAACATACAGAATTTTTCACAAGTTGAATCCAATGCAGGACCAAATGACAAACTGCTACATTAAAAAAACAAAAGCAAAACACAGCTAAATTAAGTCAATCCATGTAATATAAATAGATGTAGATGCAAATAATTCATGAAGAGTAATGCCAAATAGAGTGGGTAGAATTCTTACCACATGTGTGATTAGATGAAAAACATTCCCTGTATAGAGTGACTAATAAAAATTAAAACCCTGCTTAGACTATTATACCCATCCACAAGTATTTGTTTTATTATATTATTATTATTTTATTTTTTTAATCTATATAGTTCACAGTTTTCTAATGGAAGAGGAAAACACAACTAATTTCCCTAAGTAAACACAGACATTTCAAAGAAGAGCGGATTTTGATTACCAGTCTTCAAAAAGTACTTTGGAGCTACACAACTAGAAAATATTGCATAGCATGCCCAGAGGCTAATTTCTACCATATAGCTAGGAATTTTAAAAATTGCACTCCTACTCTTCTTACACAGAGTCAGAAATGCAGTTTATTACCATATTAATTAATATACTTGAAATTATATAGTTATGATTTATTTAAAGTAATTTATTTGTTTGTGAGCACCATGTGTGGGAACAGGAAAGAATCCCCCCACACATGCCCCTGGGCAAATTGGCAATGACCTTGGGAGTTTTTGGCCTTCCACTGCAGCATGGAGTGCAGACTGATTGCCAGGATCGTCTGGGTACATCTCAGTTAATCAGTTTCCATTGCAGGGCCCTTGGGCATTAATGCACCTCCATCCCTTCTATTCTCTGCTTGTGGCACTTAATAGTTTAGTCTCCTGAGGACTATAATGCATTGATGCAGCTGCATCTCTGTAAGCTCTCTAGCGTAGCCGCTCTAAGCCGACAGGAGACAGATTTCCTGTTGACTTAATTAATCCACCCACAATGAGCGGGGGGCAGCTATGTCAGCAGGAGAAGCTCCAACATAGCACTATCTACACCAGTGTTTAGGTTGGTGTAACTTATGTCACTCAGTGGGGTGGCTTATTCACACCCCTAGTGACATAAATTATACCAACATAAGTGGTAGTGTAGACATAGCCTTAGTTTAATTTTAGTTGTTGGGATTAGTGTGTGAGTGCTGGGTGGTGTTGGTGGCATGTGATATACACGTCAGACTAGGTGGTCTGGTGATCCCTTCTGATCTCAAATTCTATGACTATGAGTATTGTAACATACTTATGATTTATTTAAAGTCATTTTTGACTGTTTACACATTCTTACAAAACATAGGATGTCTTTGAAGATTGCATTTGTATTTCCAAAAGTTGAGATATAATTAAATCACAATTATTTATATTTTCACCTTTTGAAGCGTTATTATCTGAAAATCCTATGATACCATATTTTAGGTAATCTGAAAGTTAAGTAAATGACAAATGTACCTGGCCCAACAAGTGGGCAATAAGCTCTCTCCTGTGAGATGGAAGGTAACTATTAACCAGGAAATAATTCTTTGAAATTTCATTTAAATCATTTAAAAATCATATCATTTAAAAAAAAATCCAATCTTGATATAAAAATTGCCAGTAATGGACAATCTACCATGGCCCTTGCTAAATTATTCCAATGATTGATTACTCAACTGTTAAAAATGCGTACCTTATTTGTAGTCTAAATTTGTCTAGCTTCTGCTTCCAGCCGTTAGATCTTATTATAACTTTATGTGCTAGAAGAACCCTCTGTTATCACATTTCTGTTCCCCTTATAGGTACTTCTAGATTGTGATCAAGTCACCCCTTCACCTTCTCTTTGTTAAGCTAAATAGATTGAGGTCCTTCAGTCTATGACTATAAGGCATGCTTTCTAATCCTTTAATCATTCTCATGGCTCTTCTCTAAACCCTCTCCAATTTATCAGTATCCTTTTTGAATTGAGGACACCAGAACTGGACACAAGATTACAGCAGCAGTGGCATCGGTGTCAAATACAGAGGTAAAATGACTTATCTGCTCCTACTCCAGATTCCCTTTTTTATGCATCCAAGAATTTCATTAGCACTTTTGGCCACAGAATCACACTGGGAGCTCAACTTCAGCTGGTTACCCAGCATTATCCCCAAATCATATTTTGAGTAACTGATTCCCAGGATAGAGTCCCCCATCCTGTAACTATAGCCTACATTCTTTGTTCCTAGATGTATATGTTTATATTTAGCCATATTAAAATGCGTATTATTTGTTTGCACCTAGCTTACCAAGTAGTCCAGATTGCTCTGAATCAGTGATGTATCCTTTTAATTATTTACCACTGTCAAGGTTCCTCCCCCACTCTGAACTCTAGGGTACAGATGTGGGGACCTGCATGAAAACCTCCTAAGCTTACTTTCACCAGCTTAGGTTAAAACTTCCCCAAGGTACAAATTAATTTTATCCGTTGTCCCTGGATCTCCACTGCCACCACCAAACTCTAACTGGGTTTACTGGGAAACGTAGTTTGGACATGTCTTTCCCCCCAAAATCCTCCCAACCCTTGCACCCCACTTCCTGGGGAAGGTTTGGTAAAAATCCTCACCAATTTGCATAGGTGACCACAGACCCAAACCCTTGGATCTGAGAACAATGAAAAAGCATTCAGTTTTCTTACAAGAAGACTTTTGATAGAAGTAAAGAAATCACCTCTGTAAAATCAGGATGGTAGATACCTTACAGGGTAATTAGATTCAAAACATAGAGAATCCCTCTAGGCAAAACCTTAAGTTACAAAAAAGACAGACAGACAGGAATAGTCATTCTATTCAGCACAGTTCCTTTCTCAGCCATTTAAAGAAATCATAATCTAACAGATACCTAGCTAGATTACTTACTAAAAGTTCTAAGACGCCATTCCTGTTCTATCCCCGGCAAAAGCAGCATACAGACAGACCCTTTGTTTCTCTCCCTCCTCCCAGCTTTTGAAAGTATCTTGTCTCCTCATTGGTCATTTTGGTCAGGTGCCAGCGAGGTTACCTTTAGCTTCTTAACCCTTTACAGGTGAGAGGATTTTTCCTCCGGCCAGGAGGGATTTTAAAGGGGTTTACCCTTCCTTTATATTTATGACACGCCCCCAAAATCTCAGCTAGGGTGAAATGCTGGCTGGGATTTCTTCCTGGAGCTCTAAGAAAAACAGAGTTAATAAGACACATGCACCTCTAAATATACTACCAAGTACATAAAGACTAACAATATTTTCCACATCTCAAGAACGATTTTAACCAGTTGATTCTGGGAAACTTTCATGGGAGAGTGCATCAGCCACTTTGTTAGAAGCTCCTGAGATGTGTTGGATGTCGAAATCAAAATCTTGGAGAGCTAAACTCCACCAAATAAGTTTTTTGTTATTGCCCGTGGCGGTATGAAGCCACTGTAGTGCAGCATGGTCGGTTTGCAGGTGGAAACGCCGTCCCCAAACATATGGGCGTAGCTTTTCCAGGGCGTAGACAATGGCGTAACATTCTTTTTCACTGACTGACCAGTTGCTTTCCCTCTCAGACAGGTTTTTGCTGAGAAACACTACAGGGTGAAATTCTTGATCAGGTCCTTTCTGCATTAAAACTGCTCACACCACGCTCGGATGCATCTGTGGTTACTAGGAATGGTTTGTCAAAGTCTGGGGCCCTTAGCACAGGGTCAGACATGAGTGTCGCTTTAAGCTTGTTAAAGATCTTCTGACACTTTTCGGTCCACTGAACGGCATTTGGCTGTTTCTTTTTGGTTAGGTCTGTCAGTGGGGTGGTGATTTGGCTGCATTGCGGTACAAATCGACTGTAATAACCGGCCAAGCCTAAGAAGGATTGAACCTGTTTCTTTGACTTTGGGACAGGCCACTTTTGGATAGCATCCACTTTGGCCTGTAGAGGGTTGATAGTTCCTTGACCCACCTGGTGTCCAAGGTAAGTCACTCTGTTTAGTCCTATTTGACACTTCTTAGCCTTAACAGTTAGTCCTGCCTCCCTTATGCGATCAAGGACTTTTTGTAGATGTTCCAGGTGTTCTGCCCAGGAATCCGAAAATATGGCCACATCGTCAAGGTAGGCGACTGCATATTCTCCTAATCCCGCTAGGAGACCATCTACAAGTCTTTGGAAGGTGGCGGGTGCATTCCGCAGCCCGAAAGGGAGTACATTATATTCATACAGCCTGAGATGTGTGGTGAAGGCTGACCTTTCCTTGGCAGATTCATCTAGCGGTACCTGCCAGTACCCCTTGGTTAAGTCCAAGGTAGAGATGAACTGGGCCCGTCCCAGTTTCTCTAATAGTTCATCTGTGCGTGGCATTGGATAGTTGTCTGGGTGAGTTACAGCATTTAGCTTACGGTAGTCCATGCAAAAACGTATCTCCCCATCTGGTTTGGGAACTAGAATCACTGGAGATGCCCATGCACTTCCAGAGGGGCAGATTACACCCATCTGTAGCATGTCCTGGATCTCCCGTTCTATAGCAGTTTTAGCTTGAGGAGACACCCAGTAAGGTTGGACTTTAATTGGGTGAGCATTACCTGTATCAATGGAATGGTATGCCTGTTCAGTCAGTCCTGGGGTGGCTGAGAACGTTGGCGCATACCTAGTGCACAGCTCCTTGATCTGCTGTCGCTGCATACGCCCAAGGGTCATGGAGAGGTTCACCTCTTCCACGCCACCAGCACTTTTCCCTTCGTAGTAGACACCTTCAGGCCACTCAGCATCCTCTCCTCCCTGGGCTGTAAACTGACAAACCTTTAATTCTCTGGAATAAAAGGGCTTTAGAGAATTAATATGGTACACCTTAGGCTTTCGGTTGGAGTG